CAAAATGACCTTAACGTGCTTGATCAATCCTCGGTGGTCAAAGATGTGTTGAGAGGACATTCCATTTAGATCACATATCAAATCAACAATACCTTCTACTCGGGTGGTTACTACCTAGCAGACGAAATTTACCCAAGGTGGATAACATTCATCAAAACAATTCCGCATCCCCAATCGGAGAAGGAAAAATACTTCGATGCCTATCAAGAGGGTTATAGGAAAGATGTGAAAATGTGTTTTAGTATCCTCCAAGCTCAATGGGAAAATCATTAGGGGGGCTGCTCGTATGTTTGATGAAGAGGTACTTCGGAGCATTATGATGACGTGCATCATCCTCCATAACATGATTGTAGAGGATGAATATGATTATGATGAACTAGAGATGTTCGAACCCAATCCCACGAACACAACATTGACAAGAATTTATGAACGATCCATGAGAGGAAATGGACAACCCCTGGAGCACGAACTATTGATCATTATACGAAAATGCAATCTTCTTATGTTCACGAAAGACGTCAATTTGACTTGATTGAGCACTTATGGGCACTGAGAGACAATCATGGTCTGTGAAGTCAAGTTTAATGCTTTGATTTGAATTATGCTTTATTTTGTTTGTGGTTTGTTTTCAATTATGATTTTTTTTTATGTATGTAATGTATTAAATAAATGACTATATTATTGAATGCTTTCTTTTTTCAATAAAAGACAATCAATACAACTAATTAAGAAAGGGCACTTCTATCAATACAACCTAATGGTTTTTGTCATTTAACCAATCCGTGTTGCTAGGTCTATCGTCACGGAAAATCCTTCTTCTCATAACATGCCTTCATTTTTGCTTCCAAAATGCATTTGTTTCATGGGACATATGGCTCATATCCATAGCCATGGTTTCCCGATCTTTCTTGTCCATGTTTTGTTTGTGTGTTTACTCCATTTCTCTTGCAAATGCGTTATCTCTTGCCTTGTTAGCCTCATCTCTTTTCATGTCTCTCTTAATTCTTAGTGCACTTTTAATAGCAATTTGCTCTAAAAAATTTGCACATTCATTGTTCGAAGTGCTCATTCTCTTTGCCTTTGTCGCCTTTCTCCCAATAGGCCTTGGCTCCCTTTGGATTGGTGAGTCTTGATCGATCGTCCAATTGCAAATCCGATGTCAGTGAATCGTGAAGCAGTGTCTTATTTAACACAACGCTCGGACTTGTGGGAATAATTTTGAATCTCAGACAATTCTTCACAACCTCTCAACATTAGTGATTGTTGAAAGATTTTTTGCCTTGGTCAATGGCACCGAACCACATTTGTGCTTGAATAATCTATAATTAAAAAAAAATTGGAAATGCAAGAAAATATAAAAAAATATGACATTAAATTTAATAAAACGACAATTTACCAAAAATTTACCTCGTTGCCAAAATTTTCGTCATTTTTGTAAATGCATCTCTCCATTTCCCTAACTCTTTATTCAAAATTTTCCACCTACTAGTTAAGGCCATTTCCATACGAGGCGAACCCGATCTTTCACAAAATTCTTCATGAATTTTCCTCCCCATAGGAGAGAACTTCATCTCATTGCCTGTGATCAGGCAATGACCAAGTTGAATCCAACACTCACATAACAAAACATCTTCCATGGTTTTCCATGAGCCTCCAGCTTCGATGGAAGAGGCCATTTGTATTTTTACACAAATGAAATTTAAAGTAATAGAAAATTTGGTGTGGAAAGTGAAGAATTTACACAAAGATAGGAGAAGAATTTGTATGAATATTTGGTGTGGAAAGTGAATAATATTTTGTAGGTATTTATAGAGGAAAAAAAAAAAGAATCTTTTGGTTTTTTTTTTTTTTCCAATTTTTTTTTCAATTTTTATGCCATTGGATGGCAACGGAAAAAATTAATTGGATACCCCATGTAGCACCGCTTGGTTTCTAACCGTTGGAGGAAAGTAGGCGCTGATGCTAGTCTGGCGTTAGCATAAAAAATTCAAATTTTTTTACCCTTTATGTTCGCGGTTCCCGCTTGTATATCACGCTCCAACAGTAAAAAAAACTTTAATTTCGTGCGCCCAGGTTTGCATCAGCGCTGACATCACAGCCCTTGAGCAGGAGCTCGGTCTTATTTTGGCTTGGGTCTTACTCGGGTTGGTGGAGCCCATCTCTTCTCCTAATAAGATTTGTGCGATGGAACCTACTTTGAGGCCTAGGGGGACTTTTTATCTTTTTCTTTTGATATTTTAACACTTCTAGTATCATTTTGCTAACAAGGTCTAGCCCAATAAAAAAGGACCTTGATTTGCAGACAAAAGATCTCATGTTCGAATTCCATGACATCTTGGTTGTGTATATGAAATGTCTCTCTCTGTCTCCTGTAATTTAGACTATTACTTATACTAAAAAACGCACTTCTAGTATCATTTTATGATAAATTTTGGAATTATGTAAACTTCAGTGTGCATAGGCCCCCCCTCCCCCCCGGCCCCGGCCCCGGCCCCCCTCCTACGCTATCAAGGGCTACCTTCTTTTATCTTTTCCAACCAAAGCTTAAGCTTTTAGATTTAAATTTATTGGGTAGTCTATATCTTGCCTTCCTAATCAAATTCAAACCTTGTCCTCTTCTCTTTCATTTCATGTAACCTAAAGAAAAATTCTAGTCAAAGTAAACTCGAACTTAATTTTTCAAAGTAAATATACATGCAAAAAATACAAGTTTACTAAATTTAGTCAGTAAAATTAAGATGTGACCAACTTGATAATGACCACTGTTGGGATTCTGTTGGATGGATTGGTTCTTGTAGTACCACTGCAATTAACTGAGCCAGAGAATCCAAGAGCTCACAGAGAGACAGGGAGAGAGAGAGAGAGAGAGAATCAATAATCGTGATCTGAACAGAGCCCGCATCTGCAAGTTTACTATCAACTCAGAAACGTTCCCCAAAGGCAAACTTTGATGTATGAGTCTAATCAAGCCGTCCCAATTAATTCATTCAAGGCCTCTTAGATCTCCTCAGCAGCTGTAATTATAAATTACTGCACCATATATTTTTTAATTAAAATTTTGGAAAGAGAAGAAGAGAAGCAAACCAATCAATTCCACGTGGTGCATGCAATGATGTTTTTCCATTTGTAGGGGTGGTGGTGGTGGTGGAGGCAGATGAGTTAAGTAGGATCTAACACACTTTTTATTTAAGTCTTGTTGTTGGTTATTTTCAGACAAGTCTCCCCTAATTCTCCTCCTAGCTAGGGCTCCTAGGCTGCTCTGCTTAATCATTCCACATTTTGAAGGCACCAAACCAAACCATTAACGTACGATATTTATATATATATATATATAGACAGACTGTAGGGTTTAAGAAGATGGACAGGTTGCCAGGTTCTTGCTGCTCTTTTTTTGGCCCATACAGTTTGTCAGCTACCCACCATTGCAAAATTTAGCCACACATCTCTGTCAGTGATCATGTAGGAAACTAAACTTGGATTTGTGGCGTCATAGGGTTTAAGATTGATGTTGTGCAGGCAGCAGGGCAAAGGCTAGCTGCCTTCCTGCCTAGACTTAAGCCATAAAAAACGAGTTGTGCTTGGCTCGGTTGTTGATGTATTTTGATGTATATAAAGTTCACATCACATCAGCGGCTTAATACTTTTCATTTTACGATTTGGTCAGTCCAAAAATTTCCAAATTTAGCACAGTTCCAACAAAATTATGGAAATATTTGAATTGAAATTAAAATGTACTTTGAAATTTTCCGAAATATATTAGAGTTTCAAGTTTGAGCTATTCACAATGACCAATTTCATGTTAAAATATATTGTGACCTTTCAATTTTAAGCTCATTTTGACCTTTCAAATTTTTGGGTATATTCAAAAGTTTGAATGATTGACGAATGGATTTTAAAATATATAAGTTTAAAAAGCTTTCTAAAAAAAATTTGAGATTTACGAATTTATGATCAATGTTGAAATAAATTTTCATTCCAAAAGTTTTTATAATGAAATCCCTAATTCTGATCTAATGCGTCCGAAAATCAGACATATGCATTAGCATTTCTCTTTAGAATTCAAGAGATATGTAAACTCTAAATATTGATTATTCGCATACTCTCTCTAGTTTCTTGGAAGTGAGGGGCAATTGGTACCTACTGGGCCTAATGGGTACCCATTGCCGTTCTTTAGCATTCGCATGTCAAAATATAAACAAAAAAGGATCCAAATAACAATTCCGTTTATCAACGTGTTTCATAAAAAAATTCATTATGATAACAACGAACACAAGATATCTAAATTGTGAATAGAAGCTTCAAAAATAAAAACACAACACATCTAAAAAATTTATAATATTATGTGTTTTTAAATCAACTTTGAAACATTTCTCCCAAAAAAAAAGAAAAAAAGAATCACCTTTGAAACTGTTATTGTCACTTTAAAATATATTTTATTGATGCAATTTTCAATAACAACTTCCTTGTCAATATAAGATACAAAAAATGAAATCGAAAAGGAAAAAAATTATTTATATATATATATATTAAAGTTGGTTTAGCTGACTTTGTCTTTCTCATTTCCGTTATGAACTTTGTAGCCTAATAAAACAAATATTGTAAATAAAAAAGTGCAAAACGATCTGGTTTATGACTCAGTTTGGCTTCATGTCAGACTTCTGGCCAGGTTACCCTTTGCACCGTAAATTTTAACTTTTATGAACTTTGTAGCCTAATAAAACAAATATTATAAATAAAAAAGTGCAAAACGATCTGGTTTTCTCAATTCCTTTATGACTCTGTTTGGCTTCATATCAGACTTCTGGCCAAGTTGCCATTGCACTATAAATTTTACTTTTACTTTTTAATTCTTTCAAATGCTGTCCCTTAAAATAATTATGCATGGATTTTATAATATTGGGAGGGATAGTTTGCATGGTAATATCAGCACGACTTGATCAAAACTTAACACTTACCACGACCTGAATTTGCAACAAGAAGCCGACACTGTAAATCTATACTTTGTTGAATTCTCACAATATCTTAAGTACAAACTACATTGATACAGTAATATGTATATTCAAATAGAAAGAATAGGGAGATTTCATGTATGACAAGCTTCTTCTGAACAAGGCAAGAAAGTACATGTTAATTAAGCCCTAGGGTGTCCGGCTCGGTTAGCGAAAAAATTGGTGCAAAGATGTGAGATCTCATTCTTTTCTATGCTTCTTAAAGTAGGGAGGGAAACTGCTGTTAGATCTTACCCTCCAAATTTATGGGATACAAATCCCCTTCGGTTCTTACTCCCACAAAATGGTAACGAAAGGGCCATGTGTTCTACAGGAACAGAGGGCGATTCTGATGAACCCTCAAGCATGTGTGGCAATTTTTTATATTATAGCTGGTGACCATATCTAAACACCCGTATACATCCACAAACACCCGTATACAAGAACCCAGAATTCAGACGGCGTTGCTAGTCCGAGCTACTCTCTGAGCTTCTTCCAAATCTTTCAAGAACCTGTTTTTCCCAGGCAAACAATAATTGGAGCGGAGCATCTCATATTAGACAATTTCAATAAGCTACAGTAATTCACTAGAATAGCCTCACACAATTACAACATATAATTAAAAACATCCAACAGTCGATGCATAAATACTCATACCAAAATCTCTTAAGCAACTGTCTACCAAGCACAACCTCCCATTGTCCAAGACTGATCCGGCAAGTGGATGCTTAATTATCATGTTCTCAAAACTTTCTAGGAACTAATATGCTAGATGAATTGTACCTATATGGAATTAGTAATGCAACCCAAAAGAACCCCAAGACAAGTTAAGATTTACAGAGGCCAAAGTAATCATGCCCAAAACTCTCAAACTTGCATCCAACACAAGAAAGAAGTGGTATCAAGTCGGACCATTCAAAGCCAGTGTTAGATGTCAAAGCAGTAAGTCTAGCTAGCACAGTAACGTAAACTTCTTTTGCACTTATAATGCAAATATTTCCGCAAAAATACAATGATGACCTGAAGCATACCTCTTAGAATTGAGAATCGCAGAACCACCAAGTATAAAACGAATTCCAGTATTCATAGAATTTTGTAAAGCTACAGAGCGCGACTCCTCGTATGTTGTTCCTCCAACAATGAAAATCACAACTTCTTGAGGCCTGCTTAGAGATAGCATGTGTCATTCAGAACATTATCCAAATTATTAACTTTTCTATCCTCACACTATCAAATTTAACTTTAACAAGATGATATAAAGGTTATTATAAATATCATAGATTGCTAGTCTGAGTCCATAAGGATGTAAACCAGACAAAATGAAGTGGGGTGGGCAGATAGTAGAATCAAGGTCGAGCAACTTGACAGGAAAGGCAAAATGATGACTGAGCAGCTCATAATTAGTAATTAGTCACAGTCAGGGGCTTACATCTGAGTCATCTGATATATCTAGAGAAACCAGCAAGAATGAAAATTATGAATAGAAGCAATCATGAAAACCACAGTGATTAAGTCCACTAGACAGCCAGCCTGCCTACAGGTTGAGGTAGCATGGCCTTCTCAATGATCTCCTAACTTTTCCACAAAGCACTGATTTATCAGCATCCTGATTAGTAACCTAAATATTGATGTCAATAAGCACTCGGCTTGTATAGAACAGCACAGAAGAAATGGGCTCCAGGTAGTGTCAAAGTGCAGGAGCTTCATTTCAATGTTCCTTGCGGTTAGACTCTTGAAGACATGAATTTCTTAAAGTAGTAAACTCCTCTCTATACTACTTAAAATTCGGGACATGTGAGGTTGCATCAATTGAGCCCATCTACATCCTAAAGAGTTTAAACAAGGGCTAAAAGTTTGACATTCTCATCATATTTCTGATCAAATGAATGACAACAGCAGTAAATGACAACATTTTGTGTCACTAAAACTCTTTCTTTTTTTAAGCTCACAAAGTATCCCATTTCATAGGGTCATTGGTACATGGCTCTGAATTGATATAGGTGTTATTTTTGTTTTTTATTACCTTATTTATGTTAGTTTTTTTTGTGTGAACATTTCAACCCAAAAAATCTACATCCTAAAGAGTTTAAACAAGGGCTAAAAGTTTGACATTCTCATCATATTTCTGATCAAATGAATGACAACAGCAGCAAATGACAACATTTTGTGTCACTAAAACTCTTTCTTTTTTTAAGCTTACAAAGTATCCCATTTCATAGGGTCATTGGTACATGGCTCTGAATTGATATAGATGTTATTTTTGTTTTTTATTACCTTATTTATGTTAGTTTTTTTTGTGTGAACATTTCAACCCAAAAAAAAAAAGGGACAAAATTTGAAAACATGGTTTTAAAAAAAAAAAAATTGCTGTTTAGAACTAGCTTTGTAGCCCAAGTCAACTTTACAAAAACAAAAAGACAATCCTTGAGAGCTTGTTGCAATCGGCCAAATGATTAAAAACAAATAGAAAAACTGGTCAGCAACCATCATTTTTGGGCGAGTAGGGATGCGGAAGTCGCAAGGGGCATCACCAACAAGGCACGTGGGCTGGCAGCTTTTCCTCCATGCGGGTCCCACTGGGTTTTACGGGCTTCAACCAGGTACATTTGGGTTCAGCACCAGTGGTGCTCAAGCATATAAGGCCTTAAAATTGGACCACTGGGGATGGTTTTTTTGCATGGGTTTCTATTTATTGGAGCCCAAAGGTGGTGCAGCCCCCTTTAGGCCATCCCCAATGGGGGCTCTAAAGGGTGCTGCACCACCTTTGGGCTCCTATAAATGCAACCTCATGCAAAAAAAACATCCCCAGTGGTCCAATTTTGAGGCCCTAAATCCTTGAGCCTTACTGGAGCTGAACTTAAATGTATGGACATGATTGAAGCCCTTGAAACCCAGTGGGACCAGCATGGAGGAAAAGCTGCCAGCCCACTTGCTTTGTTGATGACGCCCCTTGCAACTTCCGCATGCCTACTCACACAAAAAAGATGGTTGCTGACCAGTTTTTCTATTTTTTTTTATTCATTTGGCCAATTGCAACAAGCTTGTCTCATTGTTTTTATTTTTATTTTTTTGTAAAGTTGACTTAGGCTACAACCTCAAGTTCTAAACGGCTAGGTTTATTTTTTTTAACCATGTTTTCAAATCTTATCCAATTTTTATTTTTTTGGGTTGAAATGTTCACCAAAAAAAAAAACATAAACAAGTGAACAAAACAACAACAAAAGCACCTAAATTAAATTACATCATAAAAAAAAAATATCAAACCCCTAATATAGAGCCCCGAATATAGAGCCTCTCATTGTAGGAGAGATGCCTTTAGAGCCCCAAAGATTCCATCGGAACTCTAAATGAGGCTCTACCACCTCTTTTAGAGCCCCAACAAATTGGGGATGACCTTAGAGCCCACATTGGGGATGGCCTAAGAAACTAGAAAGACCCTCATTTATTATAATTTTGAACTTGGCTTCGGCATCAGTTGCGTGTCAATACTTTTGGTGACACTACTTGCTTAGAATGAAACAACACAACAATCCCCAAATTGCAGCTAAATTATAAGTTAGTGACTTCCGAGGGAAATTACTTTTTTTTTTTTAAAAGAAAAAAGAAAATATAATATATTCAAAAACCAACCTGCCCTGCTGAAAGTGGTTTCCAACAAATGGGTAGTCCACATCTCTCAGTCGTCCCTTGGTGATGCTTTCCATAGTTTGGAAGAGAAGAGGCTGGTGTTGTGTGTACACATTCTCAACCCCCTACAGCATTAGTAAAAAAAAGTTATCTATAAGCTTGTAAAGCACACTCTATACTAGAAAGCATAAAATATAACTTTCGCAAGCAAACCTTCAACCCCCGAGCCATGTTACGTGCAATATTTAAGAAATCTCGATTTCCATAAAGATCCCCAGTTCGCTTATCCACACCCGCTTGCTTCAAGAGAAACTGGACAAGCTGCAATGCCATAATACCCAATTTATTAAACCTGTGAATTACTCTAGTAGCTGAAAGAAAGGTACACAGCAGATTTTGGCATGATTTCTGCATTGATTTACCCTCCCAAAGAAAGGTCAATCTCCAAGAAAATTGGATGAGCAGAAACGAACTACACATAGAATAAAATACAAGTTGCCATCATTAATTCTCTGAATGAAGGTGGCTTATGAAGAAAGACAAGCTTTAGGGATGGAAAATTGCCACTTAAACATAAATGAAGAGAAAAAAAGAAACAGAATCAAACTAGGATTGCAGTCCTGGTTACATTACCCCAGGCTTGTACTTGGCAGACTTAGAAGACAGTTTGTTAAATAATTGCATCAGTTGCACAGGGCTTTCCTTCTCATAGCGCAAAGCATACAACATGACAAGTCGTAGGCGATCAATATCAGATACACTTTCATTGTTTAATAGATTTGTCACCGCCTGCAAAGTACATAGGAGAAGGAGATGATTGTTTCCAACTTTTCATGTTTCCATGAAGATTAAACTCCGTTGCTATCTCAAAGTCAATAACCAAAAAAAGTATAAAGTACAAACTAAAAGCTGGATTCCAAATCCTAATAATAACTTGTCACAAGAATAGCAAATAAGGCAAACCAACACAGACACACTCATGGTAGGTTTTGTATCAACTTCATAGCACTAATTCAGCCACCTGGCTTAAAGATAATTGTATAATGATTTCCAGGACCTCCACCCCTTTTGGACAAGGAACTAGTCCATTTTCATTTCAAGAGAACCTGTGTGGCCATTCAATCATGACACAAGGCTAACAACTTGCCATGGAAAAAAAAGATAAAAAGAGAGGCCATTTTTCCATTGTAGATTCAAACTATCCAATCATCATCATATGGTTATGATCTCAGCAGGTCCCCTCAATTTAAAAATGCTCTAAATGGAGAGAAAACAAAGTTAAAATATAATATCAACCTTGTTTAAACATTTACCCTGACCCCAACCCAGTGTTGATCATCCCCAATTAGCAGATAGTAATAAATGGACAAAAAATTACAAAGATGTTCTTTGCTCCTTATATGACTAGACCCGTGCGATAAGAAAAAAAAAGAAGGGACACAACTCGCATTTTAAAGATGATATTAAACAGTAAAATTAGAAAAGAATAATTTCCCTCTTAGGTAGTTAGGATAAGTAGAAACAAGAGAAAAAAGTAGTTGTGCACTTGAAGAGGGACAAGGAGGGCAGAGAGAATATAGGAGAAGTGGTTTCAATTTCAATTTACTTTTATTTATTTATAGAAATATGTTGTTTTTCAGTACCTCAAAAGCTGCCACCTGCCCACCATTGCAAGCCAACTCCTGTTCTGTCTGTGAAACTAACATAAGTTTTCTCTCTTCAACTAGTTTGCTCATTTCTGTAACCAGTGCCACATGCTTTGAAACATTTCCATGCATCTTTCTGTACTCAGGGTAATTGTCAACAAATTTGGCCATGTCCTCTGCAACAATAAAGAATGTAAATGTTTAATTACCATAGTTAACCATTGTTCCAAGTGCCAAAAGTTAGTAACCACAAGAAGTTATGAATCTAAACTTTTCATGTTTGCATTCTACAAACCTATCGTCTGAATGTTCTGGTTACTCTTCGAAATTTGCTGAAATTCATCAACCAACTGCTTGATGTTCATCCCAATATCACCAAAGTTCTCATACATGTTCTTTTTGAAAAAACCATCTTGTTCTGATGACAGCACAACCTCCTATGAACATCAATACCACAACTGCAATTATTTAGCAATGAAAATTACAAACAGAAACAAGTGCATTATTGGGGGGAAAATTACAACTCAACCTGTTGATCCTTTGGAAATTTGCCAATGGTTCTTAAGTCCACTTTGTTGTCTTGAATACCAATCAATTCGTGAACCATTGCCTGTAATATTGTAATCAATGAGCTGTATTTATATTTCTAGTGATTTTATCCCGTTGTAATTTCAAAGACGTATATCAACATGAGGCATTTTTCACATATGTTGGAAAATGTCAGCTGCAACCACAATTACCTGATAGGTCCACTGATTCAGCAATGGGGTTACAGGATCATCCCTCCTATCAATTACCAGCAACAATGGAGAAATTTCTGTTCGTCTGAAATCAAAAAGTCCACTTTCCTGCTGGTACATCAGCTTCTGTTACATGCCCAAAATACAATATCAGTTCGTGCAAACTTTCATGGCTAGAATCTGCAGGCTATTATATGAACAGTATACATACATAAAAAGTTGTGTCCATAGAAAAAGTGGGGAGACAAGGGGCAGGGGAGACTTACAAAGTTCACATTCAAAACAGTAGTATAAAGTGCCCCCCCCCTCCCAAAATGCAAAACTATTTGGAATATACGACTGTACTTACTGCTGTTTCCTGTGCAATCCTTTTCGCAATATCAGATGTTCTTTGATAACGAATAACAGGTCTTCGTTTTAATGCCAAAAAGACAGCTGCAATTCCATCAACAACTCGATCAGAGAAGCGCTGCAAATTTGAATGATCGACAACTGCTGGGAGCATATAAATGTGATTTGATGGCATATTCAAAGTGAAATGGTAAGGATCGCTGGCAACAAAGTCTGCGTA